CAACGAAAATAACATCAAAATATAATTTAAAAAAAAATTATCTTTTCAAGGGAAGTAATGGGGAAATTCGAAGAATATAACTCTAACGAAAGTATACTTTTATTGATTGTCGCAATAAATAAAGAAATGCACAATAATCTGGGCCGCCAATATGACTGTTGAATTAAACTTTGTAGTCTTATGGCAAGTAAAATTGTACCAGTGTATTGTGGAACTAACATTTCTTTTATAACAAACACACGAAATGCATTCATGTTGGTATTTGTACAGTTTCACCACATATTCTTCTCTCTGTTTTGTTTGTATTTCTTCAATCGCAAATACAAATGAAAAACTTCAGCCAAATTAAACGCATCGATGGCTTAGAAACAACAGCAATGGAAAGGCGTGGTTCCGGAACGAAACGAACTAGGATCGACCAGCACTGAGAACACAAGATATTTCAAGCTCGAAATTACAAAAGACGACAGAATTCGCATGGGTCTGAAACTAGCTAAGATGAATCCTGATGATAGCGATATTATACCAAGTAGGAAGAAGATGAGGAGAATGATGATGAAAGCGGTGGCGGCACTAAAAAATGTATTCCATCTGTTTAACTATTCCAATATGTGTGTATGCTTACATAGACTGAGATCGTTGATCATTCCGCGTTTACAAATAGGGGACATTTTGTTGCTGTAATATTTCTCCTCTGTGTGACTATCTTCCCTATCATTTAACATCAACATTCTGCGAGAATATGTCACCTCTGCTTTTCTATCTTCCCTATCATTGATCATTTACAAATCCTAGAATATTTCCCCTCTTCCATCGATCATCGATATTTTGTTAGATTATTTGGAGGACCGTTCCGGATACACAGTCCCACATGGAGGACCGGTCCGGATACACTGTCCCACATGGAGGACAGGTCCAGATACACAGTCCCACATGGAGGACAGGTCCGGATACACAGACCCACATGGAGGGCAGGTCCGGATACACAGTCCGACATGGAGGAAAGGTCCGGATACACAGTCCCACATGGAGGACAGGTCCGGATACACAGTCCCACAGATATAGTGCGTTCCAAAAGTCTTGCTCTCACACTTTAACAAATATGTCAAAAACTCACGTACAGATCAACACCGGAGTTTGCATGTGGCCTTAGATTCCCCATGTCCTTATGATTTTTAATTTACATTAGCATAGCTGCTGTTGTTTTCTCGCAGTGGTGAATTTGTGTGATCTTTGTTTGAATAATAATTAATCCCAAAAATTAGACTATACAGTAACTGACACACGCGTCGAGGTGGTTAGGAAATCAGTTAACATGTGCAGCGATGCGCAGTGGTTATTGTGGTAGCCTATCCCGTATACTATAAAACACTGTGTTATTTAATTAACAGGAGGATAATGCTAGAGATTATCATCTGAAAGTAAAACTCCGATTAAACGTATGCAATTGAATGTTTTGAAAAGTTCCTTTTATTCACTTAACTGTAAGAACACTGATTATTTGCTTCGAATCTGTCTTGATTTGTCATATACTGCAAATTTGGTAAAATGAAAACTTTATGTTTACATTAAAAGACACTTCTGACAATGAAATGATTGTGAATAGGGTGCAAGCCAAATTTTCACAACTTACACCGGACGGTTACTGAGCACGAGAACAACACGTGCTCGAGTGTCTGCTTAGCTCTGCATAGTGAGCATGACGGATCGGTGGTCGCACACCATTTGACCAGGTTGGCGCCAGAGAGTAACACATCGTATGCAGACATTATGACAAAGCTCAGGCGCAGCATGGCCATTCGTCAGATCTCAGCCCCCTGTGAGTATTTGTAGCAAGGCGCTCTCGGGGCCGATCCACTGGCCGTGCTACTCCTGTTGGCCTGCTTTTTGGACACGTAATTCATTCTCATTGGCTCTTATCTGCTGTATTTCCATGTCTTTGCGTTCTTTGGTCGAGGCTTTGGACTACCAAGTAACTTTTCTTTGCCCTAGACCGAGTTGGTCGGTGTGTGTGTAACCCATGCTGCACTTTTAGTGCACTCCGAGCTGACCTTATCGCATCTTGGACCTTCCATTTTCTATCTGTCGTTAGAGCAGGCTGGACAGCTGCCACTGTGGGGTCTGAAGCAAACGAAAAGTAGAACTTGTTAGCTTTACATTATCACAAACACAAACGACAAGTAAACGTTGCGACTAGAAAACATTCATCGGCACATTATATAAATGTATACTATGATGAATATAAACAAGATTACACCGGTAATACAAAATAAAAATACAGTACAGATGCGTTAGACAGGCATAAACAGTAGCTGTTCTGGGAGGGTGGGACGCATGAATGCGGTAACATTAACAAACTACAATGAAGCTTCACAACTATTGTTGCAAATTTATCAAACCTAACGAAAAGTAAAACCACTTAGCTTCACATTATCACACACACAAACGACGAGTGAACGTTACGACAATCAGCTTGTACTGTGGGATAACAGCCATGACTTAATTTATCAATTGAGGTTTTAATATTTTGAACAACAGACCAACATCGAGGCACACGGGTAGAACCCATAAGTGCTCCGTTTTTTTTTTCTAACTCAAGTTAGAGTTCGAGGAAGCTCAGCACAGTGCACAAGCTCTGTAGCACCAAATAGTTTGGGTAGATTTTTAACTCGAAAAATTTGCCTGGGCACGCCGCTAGGCTACTCTTTTCGATTTCCAACTGCCAATTGATTTTTTACTTGTGCAGTAATGTACACGGGCGTCCGATCTCACTACCCAGAGACCCGGGGGAATTATCAGAAGTCCAAGTCCACGTGAAACAATCCCAGCCCTTACCAGGGATTGGACCCGGAACCTCTAGCACTCGAGGCGGACGCCATGCCTCGGGACCACGCAGCAGCCTTTTATCAAGAGTGAGTCCTTGCACAAATTTGATATACATTTCTTTCCTTTCTTCATCTGTAGATACTCTTAAAAGGCGACTGGGACATTGCGCTGGGGTTTACAGCCAGGCTGCGATATATGCGTTTTTTGATTCAACACATTCGGTTTAAAGGGATGGTGTAGCGGCTAGATGTTTGCCTGTGGTTCGGAAGGTCGTGGGTTTGGGTCCTGTCGATGCTGGACTTCTTTCATAAATGACCTTGGCTCCCAGGTAGCCCACGCCTTATTAAACGAGTACCAGGTACAGTCCTGGGAAGTATAGGTCGCCGGCATGATACTGACCACACCACCCGCTGAGGGCCGCTGCTCTATACAAATATAGGTCTATCCATATAAACCCAATATGCCTAAAGGTGTGAAAAGGGTCCTTTACTTTAGTGACGTGATTCTGCCAAGCTGAATTATTCCTATCGGCCAAATCAATTTCTCTGTGCCTCAAGTGCGACATTGTTTATGTATTGAGTTTATTGTTTCAGAGTACTCGCCAGGGGGCGTTCACTTTTGTGATTATGGTACATTTGCCAGTTTGTATTTTATTATTGTGAAAAATCCAAATTATTAGGCCTCTCAGTCTACAGTAGAAAATAGGACAACCCTTGTTACGTCATCACATCTTTGTCAAATATCCAATAGGTTAGGTTAGTTGCGTATCGTTTACAGGATAGTACAGAACCAACCCTAACAGTCCCTGGCTGTTGTGTGGTTTTTCTAAGCAAATTTACGTCCAGTAGTTTGCCATTGCTTCCTGGACCGTCGGCTTTCTTGAACCCACTTTCGAAACCAACGCAAGGCGCAAGGCCCGCAGCTGGGATTGAACCCGGCATCGCGGCATTACGAAGCGTTCGCATCGACTTAGACACCGAGCCTACAAATGTCTAATACCGAAATAGAAAAGCATTCTAGATATCCCAGTTATAACCAAGACCTATTGAACAGGATATTGTTGATTACATTTCTACTGTATTTGTTGTCAACTGATTACATGCCTTTTTCTACAATCACAGACTGTGGCAGTAGCAGCATGCGTTTATTTAATCAATAAACATTTTTGACATTAGCATCGTCTTTGGGGTCATGTGCAGGTGCATGGTCACCTGACGTAGGTGATCATGCTTCGTCACATCTCGCTGATCTGAGTCCTTCTTCTTCTTCTTCTTCTTTTTGCGTTCGGTTTCGTATGTTCAGATCAGGCCATCAGGTGGGTTGCCTCTATGAACTCGCATGGTCAGTAGCAGGCCCTTCATGGTTACCCATGTGTTCTGCACACATTGCTTTTGAGGCCATGCGTCTTTCCGAAGTTGTAGGTATGAAGCTGCAGAATGGGCTCAGGTGTTTGTGACTCACTTCACCGTGTTTTATCTTTGTCTGTGCAAATGGTTTTAACAAAGTCATCCATTATGGTATATTTGAAAAAAAAAATATTTTGTATGTGATGTTATCTGTGTGTTATATGCGATGTTAGGAGGACATTTAACTAAACATGTTTAGGACAATCCGTAGAGGTACCTTGCAGTGAAAGCTGTATCAGAGGACTGAGCACGGGAATGCCGCCCAGTGTGCAGAGACATCGGCGGCGATAACAGAACTCAGCATAATACAACCTAACATTACACAACATAACAGAACGCTGCATAGTATAATGTAGCATAACACAACATAACACAACACAACGTACCAAAACACAGCATAACACAATGCAATACAACGCATCATAAAATATTGTAACATATTACAGCATAACATAATGTACACAATACAGCATAACATAATGTAACATGAATATCCATGACACAACGCAGCATAACAGATCATAACGCAATATAGCATAATGTAACATAATACAGCATAACATAATGTAACATAATACAACATAACATAATGTAACACGAAGAACCACAACACAACGCAGCATAATACAACATAACATAATGCAGTAAAACATAATGTAACATAACGCAAAAGAATGCATCATTACTTTTAACAATTCCTGGGCAGGCAACTCTGCGCTATCCAACAGGTGGCGTCCGTGTCGGTCATCAATCTTCTGTGGGGGGAAGATGGCGACCAACGAGACGACAGTGGACGAGGCGGTGTTGGCGGAGGAGGAGAAACCCAAGAGTAAACGGCCCAAAGGTATGCTTCTTTACCATCTGGTTGTAGACCAGGAGATAGGAGAAATACTGGGTCTAATGTTCATATTAATATTCTGAAAAAAGGTACTAGGTACCACATATTTCAATTTGTATTATTATGTAAACATAAAAAAAAAAACTGATACTTCAGTATCATCAGTCAGTAACACTAACAAACAATAATTTCATTAATAATAGGTAGAAACAGTAGCTGCAAATAAAAATAAAAAAAAAGAGATTGAATTTACTCTATACTCTATATTACAAAATTGAAAATTAGAATACTTGTCAACATGATCAATGCTAATCATAATCTAATCAGACAACACAATACAATAGTTCGCGGAAATAAACCACAGAAAGTAGCTACTTCAGTCAAATTTTTAAAATGCCCTCTACACCAATAAAATCAGCACAGTTAGATAGCTGTAAACAATCTCTTTCCAATGGTACCTCATTTAGGCTTGTATGTCATTTCTGAGCTGAGATATGTAGGTTTTTGTGGAGATGAGATGTAGAAAGCAGCTGCTAAAACTTGCGTCTTAGAAAGAAGGTTTTCTCCTCGCATGCGCACTTCTGTTTTGGCTTTGTTGACATTGGACTGTCACTGGACAAGATGGCAGACAATGAGACACAGCCACATACCGATTGCCTAAAAAATGTCACTGTAAATTTAAAAAGCCACTGTACAGAAAGAAATTTGTAAATCTAAATGTAAAATTGGACGGAGAATTCAATTATAACTAGCATTACCAGTACGAGTAATTTTTAAAGCCTAAAGCCAACCCTGAATCCTAATCGCTATTTTCAATCAAACTGATGTAACAGAAAAACAGAGGACGTCCGGCTGTCGTAGACATGCGCTGTTAATCGGATTCCTTCCCGCCGTTTTCAGCTATTTAGAGTGGGTGAAAATCACACCAATCGCAAAATTTCATGAGAGATTAGGACCCATCCCGAAACCCCAGCCGACATTTCCGAAACAAGTTTTAAACGGTTTCTATTGTAACGGAAATAGTCGAAAAGATCGCAGATTTCCGAAACTGTAGTGGCTACAGAAAGTACCCTACGATATTAATGAAATGTAATTTCAGTAACTACAATGATCATGGAATTAGACTAATTGATAGGTCCATTCTTGTAACAGTAGCGAAATATCTGGGGTAGATGAAAGTATGTATTTAGTAATTTACTTTTTGAAACACATGCAGGGTTTGGGCGGAGGAAGTAAAGTTCCCCTGCAGATAACACTGAACACAGTTGGGTGTGAACGTTAGTATGCGGCAGTATGCCCTCACAGGTTTCTTTGATTTTAGGCTATGATTGAAAAAAGGAAAAATGAGGTGGTGGGTAGTTGTTAGTATGTTTCTTCTTCCATTGTCTTTGCTTCCCAGAAAATTGCTATATAGAATTCAAATAATGAAATATTCATGCCTGTTTTAACCTTTTGAGTCCCAGGGGGTTTAGCATCACAGGCCCATCATCATCATGTAGCAGTTCCTTTGCAGAACGTTACTCTCATCACAGTCTGCCTGTAAGAAACTCGGTCTCTTGCCAGTTCTCCCGCCTCATGAACTTTCACACTCAAGGAGTCACTTATATCCTGTGCCAATCTTCGTGTTGGTCGGCCTCTGCCTCTCCTTCCTGGTACCATGCCTTATGCTATAATTTGTTCCAATCCGTCGTGGCGCTTGATATGACCAAAATATTTCAGCTTTCGGGAAAGGATGCTGTTTATTAGCCAATCTTCCTTGATGTTCAGATCTTTTAAGATGTCAATATTTCTCATCTTCTTTGTCCAAAATATTCTGAGAATCTTTCTATAGCATTTCAGCATAAAAGCCCCTATTCTCTTTCTTAAGGACTGAGAGATAGTCCACGACTCACATCCGTGTGTAGCCACAGGGAAGATGCATGCTCTCAAAATTCTAATTTTTATCTCCTTGCTGGTGCTTAACCGTAGACTTTTAAGGCTGTTCAATCTTTGCATTGCTATTGCCATCCTCCTTTTAATTTCTGTCGAACAGTCTCCATTGTTGTATATTATAGAGCCTAGATATTGAAAGTTTGTGACATTTTCAATTTCTTCATCATTTATTGTTATTTTTGGGTGACAGCCAGTTTTATCTGTGGACATTATTTTCGTTTTCTTTAAATTCAAGAACAGATATTGATCTTTACTGTGCTTTTGGACGGACAATATTAAATTTTCTATTCCCTTTACGCTGTTTGTAGCGGAGTTCCGGAATATCACAGGCCCAGGGGGGTAGTAAATAAAGTCATAAAATCGGAGCATCATGTGTTCATTGGGCTTCTAGGTAGGAAGCCATGAACGTTTGATGCGTACCTTGGGACTCAAAGAGTTAGGGATTGAAACCCTAGGCCATTGTCTTGACAGGCAAATACTTCCTGCATTTATGAAATTAACCACGTAGGACTAGTTCTGATTATGAAAGGTAAGCTGGACATCATCAGAATTCAGTTCTGAAAGGTTCTGACAAGTAGGGAAATATGTTCACATGGCTCATGACATAGCAGGTACTGTGGGGGAGAGAACAAAGATAAAGCTAGTTACAGGTGAGATGTCTTATCTCATTTATCCACACCCCTCCAGGAAGGCTTGGCATCTGATCCACTACCATGACATCAGGGAGATATATAATCTTGTTCATATCCTATGTTTGCCATGGGGGGTTCTGTGGTCCTGTTGTAGATAAAACAAGAATAGACCCACTGCCGAACCAAAAATGTATGTTGCAAGTAAGAGTCAACTAACTGGGATGTTCCTTCACAGTCAGATTGCGTCTGCTCAAGCGGCAAGGGACAACCAGCTGCACACAGATAAGCCAGTAAAACATGAAAAACTCAGGATCCTCCCTGGATCAAAGCCAAAGTCTAAATAGACGAACCAGAAGTTTCTGCATGAGCTGTAAAGCTTGTGAACAAAGTAAATCAGTAATCTGCATGTAAAGGTAAGTGCCCTCTCGTAAACTACACCCATAACTTCTGCCTTTTTTTGTTCTTCCCCAGAAACGAAGTTCAAGCAGCAGAACCTCCCAGCATGGCAACCCATCCTGACGGCAGGCACTGTCCTCCCAGCATTCTTTGCCATCGGTCTAGCCTTCATTCCACTGGGTGTGGTACTTCTTATTACCTCAAACAATGTGAGTATTCCCTCATTGAAGCTACCATAGTGCAGCATGTGTTTATTATCTTTTTACAGGACAATTGAACTAAAATGTTGCCCAAACATTCTTACAGTGCGCTAAATGAACATAAGAAACTACCAACATGAACATCTAGTAGACTAGCACATAGACAGCACCATGTCTTCAAATGGAGACAGCTGTGGGCATCATATCTGAAATGATGCTTTCAAGTAGACAGAGCTGTCATGTAGACAGAACCATCATGCAGACAGAAGGGTCATGTAAGATAGAACAGTCATACGGACAGAAGGGTCATGTAAGATCGAACAGTCATACGGACAGAAGGGTCATGTAAGATAGAACAGTCATACGGACAGAAGGGTCATGTAAGATAGAACAGTCATACGGACAGAAGGGTCATGTAAGATAGAACAGTCATACGGACAGAAGGGTCATGTAAGATAGAACAGTCATGCAGACAGAAGGGTCATGTAGGATAGAACAGTCATACGGACAGAAGAGTCATGTAAGATAGAACAGTCATGCAGACAGAAGTGTCATGTAAGATAGAACAGTCATACGGACAGAAGAGTCATGTAAGATCGAACAGACATGTAACACAGAACAGTCATGTAACACAGAACAGTCATGCGAACAGAAGAGTCATGTAAGATAGAAGAGTCATGTAAGATAGAACAGTTATGCGAACAGAAGAGTCATGTAAGATAGAACAGTCATGCGAACAGAAGAGTCATGTAAGATAGAACAGTCATGCAAACAGAAGAGTCATGTAAGATAGAACAGTCATGCGAACAGAAGAGTCATGTAAGATAGAACAGTCATGCGAACAGAAGAGTCATGTATGATAAAACAGTCATATAGACAGAAGAGTCATGTAACATAGAACATTTATGCAGTCAGAGAGCAGTCATGGATTCTGGAAGTAAAGGCAAGTGTTGACCATGAAAGTGGCACAGGATGTTGGAGACATCTTGGGCATGACAGGACACAGGCATTGGTCAGTTGCTGCGAGACTTCCCCCTGGGCCATGAAGAGAGTGACATTTTGATGAGGATCTGCTACCTGGGGATGGGGGAGGGAACAAGTTTTGTATAAGTCCTTAATCGTCAGGTGCCATCTCCACAATGAAGGTTGTCTGTAATAGATCTCCAACATGCTCTGTCTCTTAACTTGCTTGTACACTCTCAGACTTTGTCCATCTCTTAATGTTGTCCTGCCACTTGTATCACTGTCTTCCCCTTGTTGCTTTGCCTCGACCTTTGCCTACAGTTTGATATTTTAAAATAGTGTTAATTTTGAACTAAATGTTTCAGTTGTCTCTTTTTTAAATTTCTTTGAGTAATTCTCTTTGTATTTGATTGTTTTTGTTTTCATGATGTACAGTCTATTCTTCTGTGTATCCATATTTCCAGAGACTGAGTCCAGTTTTCTAATTGCCTGTTCATTGTCCAGGTTTCTGCATCAGGGTTGAATATACATAACGTTTGACTGTTCTTATTTTATTTTGTTTCTTTCTAGCTGTCAATAATTTTCCGTTCTTATTGAAGATAGTTTTAGCTATTCCTGTTATCTTTTTTATTATGTCTGTTTCACTTCTGCCTTTATCTGTTGTTACGTGTCCAAGATAAGAGAAGCTTGTTATTTATGTGAGAGGAGTTTGACAATTGTTGTTGTCCTCTCGAAAATGGTGGCAGGGTGGATGCAGCCCTGACACTCTACTCCTGTGGAACCCTGTTCGGAGGGATTAGTTCCTAATTGTTGAGTAGGCACAAAGTAGCAGTACATTGAATGTCATTGACCCCATGGTCATGGAATGTCCTGAAGTTATATTGAGTGAGTGCACATGTGTGTGCATGTATGATTGTGTGTATGTATATGGTGTTTTCTTTTAGTCTCTGGTGTCTCCCTATTCCCTCACTCCAATGAAATTGCCTAACCAGTACATAACCTTTCCAGTATAATAGCTAACTATTCAGATCTGTGTCCAACTTCCTCATTTGTTTCTCATCGGCTCCACCGTTTCCAAGCGCAAAGCAACAAGAACCCTGATATTCCACTTAATCCACCACATTATGCATTATGCGTTAAATTAAAGGTAAAAACAAAAAGTCAGGAAGTGTGAACCAGCGTCATTGCACACGGTTATAAACCATAAGTGCTCTGCCACTCGTACGGACAGCTGATAAGAAACTGTCCGCCTGTGTTGTCGTCCGTACGTAACTCTGTAGCTACAGTGACATTCCTCCATTTACCCCAGAGTGTAAACTCTAGTACCCATTTCCTAGAGGCTGGGTAAACCCCGGGAACCGCCCGGTTTCGGACACCGACCGTGGCTGCTGCGAGTCGCAGCTCGATTTGAAAGCGAGCCTCCTATCAACTGCATAACGGGGCTCGTTAAATTTGTTAATAGGTTAAATTACTTCTTGATAGCAGCTGGTCTTGTATTAAAATGTTATCTCTGCTTGTTTGTTGTTTATGATACAGTTTTAAATAGCCACCTTGGATACCCAGCCATTGTCTGTGTATGTGTTTTGTCAACAGATAGCAAAACTTGTCTGATCTGGGATGTTACAGCTAAGATATTAAACTTTCAGATAAAAGAGTTCACCTATGACTATACAAACTGTCAGAGTATAGAGAATCCTAACGTGACCTGTGCGGAAGTGGTTTCCAATAACACCAACCTGACATGCACATGCCGGATCACAGCAGAGCTGGATAAATTTGATGTAAGTGGCCCAGATTAACTTGATAGTTTGATAGCTCATCAGATAAAGCAGTTCTTAATTATTGTTGTTGAGGTGTCAAAAGTTAGGCTTTATCAATTTATACCAATTATTCCACAACAACTGATGTGGGTTGGCCAGTTTTGTTTTTCTAATTTTTCCTTTGTATTTGTAACCCTTTAAAAATAAAGTTTGTTCATTCGTTCCTTTCTGAATAATGCTAGGAAAATTAATGTAGTTGTATGGTACCGGTTGTATGAGGTTGGGCTAACCTTAAAACTTTATTGGTCGTTGTATGTACAGTTATATAATCCAACAGGCAATGTTGTATGTACAGTTACATAATCCAACAGGCAGTGTTGTATGTACAGTCACATAATCCAATAGGCAATGTTGTATGTACAGTTACAAAATCCAACAGGCAATGTTGTATGTACAGTCACATAATCCAACAGGCAATGTTGTATGTATGGTAGGTGACCATTAGTCCCTGGGGCCCAGGCAGTTGTGCTGCTGGTTCTGGGAATGGCGTCTGCTATGACTAGTCCAGTAGAGAAGTAGCAGTCTCTGCTACATAGTCTACATAAAAACATGTATACACTGTTGTTCCAAGGCTGGTTCTCTAACAGACATCTCCTCTATATAGCTTGCTGTGTTCGGCTATTTGCAAACTGCGACAGTCCATGTTTCGCTGTCTGCATCCACAAGAGATTGTCTGCGGCTGATTTTTTTCTAGTGTTTATGTCAATGTTTGTGTCCTTCCTGTCACGTTTAATTATACTTATAGACAAAGGAAAGACTTTACCAGCGTCATTTAACAGAGAAATGACACGAAAGTTAGTCACTTCTGTCTCCCTTATTTTATTAATAGATTGTTGAAATGTTGGATAGCTTGCTTTGAACATTTCAGAGTCTATGGTGGGATACCATCATCTCCTGGGGCCTTGCCCAAAGGAAGCCTGTCCAATGCTTTCTTTATTGATTTCCATGAGAGTAGGCAGATACTTATTTGAATGGAAAGCATCAAGGCCGACACAGATGCTTGTAGAGTTCTGAGTAATGTTTCACCCAGTGTTCCGGCTGTTTTGTGCAAAACTAGCACCGAATGTAGCTACATAAACCAGCATTTACTGTTGTATGTATGATTGTTGTATGTAGTTACATAGACCAGAATAATAGATTGTGTTGTGTAGACCAGTGTTTTCCAAACTTGTCTTAGTCGCGGCACATTTAAAAAAAAAAAATTGTATGTGCCGCCCTAACCTCAGTAAAAGTATGACTATGTGTATGTAAGAGATTAAAAAAAAAAAGATAAAACTTGTGTATCTTAAAAACATTTTGTGGCGAACCTGTGAGGAGGTCGCGGCTCCGTAGAGCACTGCGGCACACAGTTTTGGAATCACTGGTGGAGACAGTTATTTAAACCAGTACTGACTGTTTTTTGTACGATTTGTTGAATGTAAACTGACATAAACCTACATTAATTGTATGTTCAGTATAGCATAAACCAGCATTGCCTATTGTATGTACATACTTTGAATGTTGCAAAAACATAAGTTTCATAAACCAGAATTTATTATGTTATATGTACAGTTACATAAACCAATATTCATTGTTCTATGTACAATTACATAACTAGAAATGATTGTGTTATATGTACAGTTACATAAAGTGGAATTTAATGTGTTTTATTTGTAGCAACATAAACCATAATTGATTGTGTTGTGTGTACAGTTACATAAATCATAATCCATTATGTTCTATGTACATTTACATAAACCAGAATTGATTGTGTTGAATGTGCTGTTACATAAACCAGAATTGATTGTGTTGTTTGTGCTGTTACATAAACCAGCATTGATTGTGTTGTATGTGCTGTTACATAAACCAGCATTGATTGTGTTGTATGTATTTAACAATGCACAACGGCTTATCTTTCCTAGGAATCAGTGTATATATATTATGGACTCACTAACTACTACCAAAACCATCGGCGCTATGTGCGCTCTCGGGACGACAATCAGCTGCATGGAGACACTATGTCTCCCGGAAGCCTTATTGATGACTGCGACCCTTACAGAACTACGGAAATCAACAAAACAGGGTACGGTTATGCCCCTTGTGGTGCCATTGCCAACAGTCTGTTTAATGGTAAGCTGGGGCGCCTGTTGTAGTGATGTCTCTTCTGTTTGATAATGATACTTTTATTGTTGTTTTGATGCCGTTTATCCATTGTTGTCAAGAGAAGCAGATTGTCACTTGAAAGCCTAAGAGTATGTTTGTGGATGACGTGTTGAACTCATATCTGAACCAGGAGAATATCACTTACATTGAGAACTTAAGAGAGGTGGCAGTCGCAGTTTCTGACATCTAGCTCATGCGCACCTGTGTATGTGTGCCATATGCGCGCCTGCCTGCGGGTTACATTTGAACCAGGAAATATCTGTTGCATTGAGAACTTGGGAAAGCTGGCTGTCAATGAGGTGTGTGTTGTCCATCAAGATGATGATGACCACTTTTTTCATCAAGTATGAGTACAAAAATGACTGATGAGGCCAATGCGGGCCCAGCAAGTTTTTGGACAGTGCGGACAGGGAATGAGTGTTGTGCCAGGGAGGGGATCTCCTGCAGTCACCTTTCTGTTCATCCTTTTCTTAATGTCTTTTTGTTCTGTTTGCTTCACATGTAGCTGCGCCCTTGTGTAGAGTTGCACGCCATGCATATCTGTCTTGAGAGGCAACCTCCCAATTGGTGTCAGTCATCCCAAATGCTTTAAGTGAAGACTTCAAGGTGTCCTTAAAACGTTTCTTTTGCCCATCTTGAGAACGTTTCCCATGTTGCAACTCATCATAGAAAATTTTTTTTTGGGGGGGAGCCTGTGATCTGGCATGCTTGCCACATGACCAACCCAGCGAATTTGATTCTGCATCAGTAGAGTGTGCATGCTGGGCATGGCTGCTTTCTCAAGGACTGTGGTATCAGGTACTTTGTCTTGCCATCTTTTCAGTGAGATACTGACGTCCAGATCTCATGTGTATGTCTATGAATTACATTTGAATTGGGAAAAGGGCCTCATACACTGTCACATTGATTCTTCTTTTGCAAGTTGCATAGTTTGGTTGAGATGACAGGAGAGCAGACAGGTAGTTCATTTATCTTGCATTACCCTGTTATTGCTGCATGTACAACCCTGTATCAACTACTAGCTGCTGTTGTAAATGTTATTCTATTGTTGGACGAGTTATAAGCATTTGTGTGCTCACAAGCTAGGAGCTGCTGTTTGTTTGCTTTACTGTTTGTGTACACACATGCTGACTTGGTCTGCACACATGGGTTGTTGAGTTTGTGTACACACATGCTGACTTGGTCTGCACACATGGATTGTTGAGTTTGTGTACACACATGCTGACTTGGTCTGCACACATGGGTTGTTGAGTTTGTGTACACACATGCTGACTTGGTCTGCACACATGGGTTGTTGAGTTTGTTTAAACATGCAACTCTGCAGCTAGTTTGTTCGCTTTCATTCTTGAACAGAGCATAGAAACTGTACATTGATGCAGCTGAAGTAGGGGACACAACCTGTGTGACTGTGCTTTGAGTTCCATTCATTCATTGACTGATTCAGTTGTTTTTCATTCATTTACTGAGTTCCCTCTAAAAATAAACCGTTGAACTTACTGCGTTTATGAAGTAGTTACATTGTTACATGAAGTAGTTACATTGTTACATGAAGTAGTTACATTGTTACATGAAGTAGTTACATTGACAAAGAAGTGAACAGACACATGATGAACTAGTTTTCCAAAAAGGAAAATGTGAAGTAAGTGAAGGGAAACATGAATGGTGAGCCATCCCTTGTTCAAATTGACTGAAAGTAACTGCTGACATCCAGGGAACAGATAAGTTTGTGGGATGTGAGGCTTTCACTTAGGTGTGGGATGTGAGGCTTTCACTCAGGTGTGGGATGTGAGGCTTTCCAG